TTATCTGAATCTGAGCACACAGAAAGCTCCTATGTATACCCCTGCATTCATCCTGTTTCTTTTGTCAGCAGTGAAATTATCAATAAATGCCACTGTACCATTCTTCACTTGCAAGGTCGCCCCGTTACTCCTTATATCACGCAATACCTCCACTTGAATTTAAATGTCAAGTCTCAGTCAGGTCTGAGCCACATCTGTGCCCTTTTGTGCATGAACTGATGTTGAAACGACGCTGCCCAAGAAAGATTTAGTACTTTGGATGTTCAAACACCGATATCTCACACACAGTTCTTGCAGTTTTGATTTAAGCCTACTCAAAGTAAAGCTGGCTGTAGGCACTTGAAAGTAGTAGACATTATTTTATTTTAAATTGAATGTTCTGATTCACAGAGCCTGAAGAAATTGTCCACTCTTTACCGTACTCCCCAGAAGCCGTGCTATGAAAGACTAGAGAAGATGAAAGAGCCCATACATAGCTCCAAACTGCATCACTTGATAGATGGTTTTTAAGCTGGGAATAATAGAAGCTTAGTAAAGAGCCCAGACTTTTGGGGTGGTCCAAGTATTACTTAGGTTTAGTGATAAATATTACATGGTGCTGTCAGTTTATGGTGTTTCTAAAGTACTATTTTGTATTACTGTAATTTTTCTAGAAGGTTAGTCGGCTAGAGGAGCATGAGAAGGAAGTGGTCAGTGCTCTGCGCTACTTCAAGACAATCGTGGACAAAATGGTTGTGGAGAAGAAGGTTCTGGAGATGCTCCCGGGCTCGGCCAGCAAGGTGCTTGAAGCTATCCTTCCTCTGGTTCAGGTAGAGGCCCGGATACAGCACAGGTGAGTCACCTGTTTTTATAAAGCACCAGACAGGAAGTTTGGTTTAAGATTAGAAAGCTTACATTCCCACTGATCCTTACAATTTAAAGCACAAGACAGAAACATTTATGTATATTTTTTCCAAAATGAATATCGTTACAATAAACTTTGATTGCTCTTTTTTTCCTGCCATAGATATAATTCACAGTGTACCATTTTTCAGTTCAGTCTAATCATTCTTACCTTTTGATATAATTCCCAACATAGCTGGTATGCATGCAGGGCGTGTTACAACTAGCACAGTGGAGCTCACCACTCGCTGAGCATCCTGTGAAGATGATCATATGTTGCGACAGACGACACCCCTCATAACAAGGCTTCCTGGACTCGATGCCTGAAGCCTTTAAAATTATGTTCATGTGTTAATCATTGTTGATGTGACACATTATCAGGAATGTTACCTTCAAGGAAGAGAAATGACTTCATGTTTCAGACATATTAACTAATAGAAGGGGTTTTGTTTTAGGTCCTCACTGGGTAAAGTAAATACTTCCTGTGAAAGTAACTGTAGCTATAGTTTTGTTTGAACTGTCAAGACAAGTTAGGACTTCTCTGTCTTTGTCTTTGTGCCTTCCCCTGTCTGTCAGTACAGATGAAAGTATGAAGGTCAGAGGTGACACATTTTGTATCTCACAGCCCTGTGTTTGGAAGTGATTGACTGATTGTTGCTGCAGCACTAAAAAGAAGCTAATTCTGGGGATTTGACCTCAGTGTATTCTAGTCAAACCCCAATAGATCACATTAGAAGTTTAGTGCTTTGCTTAAGCCTTAGACCGCTGTACATGCAGCAAGTTAAACATGACTGCCACAAGCTAATTACTTCTTATAATGGTCAGATGCTTTTTGGCTACTATACATTGAGTTACTACTGTGTGACAAACACTGAAATGCTCAAAATGTTAAATTGTCTTGCCATCTACTGAACATATAAAGTACACCACAGTGTTGGAGTGTCTACACTGATTTAAATCAATATTGGTTTAATAACCAGGTCAACAGTGGGTACAGCTACTATCTGCTGTCTGGCACACAGGGTCGTGTTGATTAAGGTGCTTATTTACTAAAAGATAAGCATAGCAGTCTCATCTACAAATCTCTTATCTGGGCACTCAAAGCTGCAGACTCTGTCATAATTTTAATGTTCCTTCTTAGCTGCAGTGTAGCCTGCAGTCATTAGCTCAAATAGTATTTCTGGGTAAAACCTCTCCGACCTCCCAACTGCTCCACCATCCCCTAAATCCTTCTTAGCTATAGACGTCTCCCACTCACTTAAGGGCTAAGCTGTGGAGAGACAGTGGACGGGTATTTCAGCAGTCTGAATCAGCTGCAGCATGTTGGTACAAGTCTGTGCTGCACCTTAGTGTCGGGTCTGGATGTATTATTCACTACAGGCAGAAACAACACGCCGCTTCCCACTGTGGTTATATACATTCTTCTTCCAGCTCTTAATCCAGTCTGTAAACATTTAGCCTGTCATATTCCTGTAGTTTAATAAAAGGTAGATGGAAGTGTGTCGTGTTGTTGTTTCTGTCTTTTTTTTCTTCAATGTTTTCCACACATGCTTGTCTCATGGCTCTTGTTCACATCCCTTTGCTGTGTTGTCTTCTTTCTGCACCTCTGGCTCCATTGTTCCCTCTGAATCATTTCCTTTTGATCTAATTTATATGCCACTTTTGTTTTCTTTGTTTCCGTATACTTCTTTCCTTTTCTCCATTGCCATGTTCTGCTGTGACCCAACCCTATTCTCACACCCTTTCTATAGCTCTGCGCTGTCTTCCTGCCATAACCGTGTGTACCAGAGTCTGGCCAATCTTATTCGTTGGGCAGACCAGGTGATGCTAGATGGCGTTGACTTGGAAGACAAGGAAAATGTGGCGTCTGTAACCAGTGTCATCAAAGCTGTCTTGGATGGAGTAAAGGTAGGCCCTTCACTGATAAAGGAAATATGGTGGATGGCTACTAGAGATGTCCTGAGCAGTCCTCAGGATCTGTATTGGGGCCAGTATGGACATATTAAAAGATTGGCATTAACTAAAATCAAGCCAGTCAAATGGCAATCCTTTACTTCTTTCTCGTATCCCGAGAGGGGGTCCCTCCATCCCTTCTCCACAGGGGTCGAAGGGGTGAGCTGCTCACAGAGTGAAGTGGAGCAGAAAGGAGGTTAAATTTTACTTGAACTGACCATAGTGCTCATTTAACATGTGTAACAATATCTGCACTTAATGGAGACAGTGCGAGCAAATTATCAAACAGTTATATATATAAAATTTAAAAGACAACATCTAACAGAATACAACATCATCTCATGTGTGACACACACAAAGGCAATACCGGTGGGAAAAACTTGATCTGGACATCTCTGTTGGCTGTAGCCTCCTGTGTGGGCTTCTCTCTACCATTATGAGACTTGGAACGATACTGATCTAAAGTAATGGAATTGATGATGCTATTTGCTGTAATGTTTTGATTGGATGAGGCACTGAAGCTGGCTCTGTTATCTTTCTATGTGCAGGAATTGGTAAAGCTGACCATAGAGAAACAGGAGCACCCGTCCCCCACCACTCCTAATAAACCAGCACCCCCTGCTACTACAGCAGAGACGTGAGTACAGAGTATGCTCTCCAGAATACAAACATTCTGCCGCTTAAAGCGGTTAATTCACTCAGACAGCCTTTCTGTGTGTAGCAGCGTGTCATCAGAGATGCCCTTAATAGATCGGGAGCCAGAGGTCTCCAATAAGATGTCTCCGGCAGCTACTCCTGCAGAGACTGCCTCTGACATACCAAATGAGGATGTAGCCCCTCCCAAACCCCCACTTCCGGAAGCCAAGATGGCAGAGCTCAGGTGAGGACAACACATACACACTACAAATGCAGTTGTAATATTCCTTATCCTCCATATAGAGATGCTTTTTTTTTTTGCAATTAATGGACTGAATTTTGAAATTCAGGTGTTGGCTTGGTCAAAGTGAAGTCAGTAATGCACTGACATATTAATAATGTAGGAGTTTCACAGCTGACAGTTCTCACTGAAGCTCCCACTTCATGTAGTTTGTTGGCATCAAAGGATCTCAAAAGTTTCCTCAGATCTTTGCAACACTGGGTGTGAGATTCTCTCTCACAGCTCCAGCTGGACTTGGTCGTAATATGGCCACAGAAACTTTGTGACATTTTGCACTGTAGTCACAAAGAGAAGTGCCCGTTCTGCACTCATTCTTCACGGAACTTTTGTTATCTTTTAAGCAATTTTTGAAAAATGTTCACACACATCAAATGAGGAATAAGGATAGTTTTAGGATATGTATACAGAAGGGGGATTTCCTATTTCTTTCATTTTCCCTGATTTAGATTTAGCTCATTAACCAGAAATATTTTTGTGTATTGTTTTTTTTCATACAATCCAGCTGCGGTTTGTCAATCCAAATGCAAAAGGTTTTGAACTTCTCTAAGTCTTTACTGCTCTCTCACTTCAGGCTCTGAATATGGCACAACTTGTTTTGTATGTTGCTCTGTCCCTTTATTCCTTTTTTCAGTCTGCTGTTTCTCTCTCTCTTTTGATTTCTTTCATCTTTGGTTTCCCTTTTGCATTCTGCAAACAGAGCACAGTTGAGTGCTGACGCTGGCCAAAGGAGACCCTCTCAGAAGGAGAAGTATGTTAGCCTATAGGATCACCTGTCTCCATCGTAACAACCCACCCTTGACTCCCCATAAAGCTTTTGGCCTGGATGAAAGTGTTTCTGACTTGCATGGTTGCATTATTCCAATGTTTGTGTCATCTTAGGCTTCCCCTGAAAATCTCATTGTCCAATCAAAAGACTTTCCAGTGCATGAGAGTGTGTGACTGACCTATGCAGTGAATTTTCACAGGCCTACATATCATGGTGCCTTACTACTGTTCTTTGCCCCATTTTGACCTGGCAATAACTCTGAGAGAATGTAGGTTGACAAACAGGACAGCTTCATGTCATAGCCGAAAGAGGCTAACATGAAACACCCTCACTTTCATCTCACTCCTTCACAGGAAGGATGACAATATGTGTGTTCATGTATTCATACATGGATTTGTGTGTGCATACGTCAGAGAAAGTGTGTTTTGCTGCTTCCCTGGTTATCTACATTAACTTGGCCAAAAGGACAAAAATATCCAACACACTTACTCTGCTGGTTCTATTTATCTGTTAATAGTCCTCCACCTGCTCTTCCACCTAAGAAGCGCCAGTCAGCCCCTTCGCCTACACGGGTGGCAGTGGTTGCCCCTATGAGCCGTGGCTCCAGCCTGCCCTGCAGTGTCCACAAACAGGTGAGGACTGCATCTCATAAAACCTTAGACTTCATGTTCTAATATAGCATACCGTCGGCTTCAGTTTAATATGATATCAACACCGAATACAGGAAGTAATTAACCATTAAGAATTTTTCTGTCTGTGCAGCAGCAGGAGTACGAGCAGGAGTTCCTTCAGAGACGTTTTTCTGGGGGTAGCCAGTCATACGGAGGCGACTCTCCACGCCTGTCTCCCTGCAGCAGCATGGGGAAACTTAGCAAATCTGATGAACAGCTTTCCTCCATGGAGCAGGACAGTGGTCAGTGTTCTCGTAACACCAGCTGTGAGACTCTTGGTAAGAACGTGAAGATAAATTTACAAGTGCTTCATCAAAACACTAACCCTGTCATGTTTGATTTGGTGAAGCTTTATTATTTGCAAGCAACAGCAAATATTAGAAAAACTTGAAGATTGAATTTAGATCTGTAATTTTTTTTTAGGCTAACCCCTGAAACACTAGTTTTTTTATGGTACCCTAATTAATCTCTACAACCTGTAGCTAAAAGTTAAAGACACTGAAATAGAAGTTGTGGCCTGCTTACCTTTAACTTTCATTTTCAGTGGCTGCTTGCTCCAAATACCCAAGAGTCCGGTGCATTTACTGTTCAGTTGATAATACTGATATTTGCACTAGAGTTAAACTAGGAGCTTCTACTGCATTAGACATGCTGCAGTCAGCTCTTCATTTCTAGAGCTCTAGAGAGAAGTCATCACTCTAGTTTTGTTGGATCAAGTGTGCTTTTGAGGTTCATGTGTTACAGAAAGACGTTTCTTTCATAAACAATGCACAGACACTGGCTTGTAAAGAGTACACAGAGTAGACAAATCCAAATGTTTACATAAAACCATAACAATTCTCCAGCTGGTCTAGTCTGTGGTGACGTGTGTCACTTTAAATACAGTATTCTATGGTGGTTATAAATGAGAGGCCTGCTCAAATTACCTAAATGTTTTATATGTTGCACTTTGCTAATAAACAAAGGAGACAGTAGAAGGTTTCAGAGGAGATTTGTTAACTTCAGGTGTTTTACCAATTGGGAATTTGATCTACAAATGGAATCAGCTACTGGAAACTCAGTCCCAAACCCTTTGCTAATGTTTTTGACTTCATGTATTGTGAAGGTGCTACAGGTAGCTGTTACTTCACAGTTCATTGTGAGTGTATGATGACAGTAATTTCTACCTTCTCTTTACAATTTCAGACAACACAGAGAACTACGACCCAGATTACGACTTCCTCCATCAGGACTTGTCAGCTGGGGAAAACCTGCCCCCAATACCAGTGGGAGGGTGCTTGAGCCCCCTGCCCGAGTCTCACAGCGAGTCATCTTCCCCAGTTCCCGGACAGCATCCCTCACATCCCCGCTTCAGTGCTCCTCCGCCTCAGCAGCCACCCGAATCCTGGACCACCCACCCCATCCTGACTAACTCCTTACAGTCCTTTCGTGTCAGTGCACCTCCTGCCCTGCCCCAGAAGAAATGGCGCAGCACCCAGGCATCGTCCTTCACTGATGGAGGATCCAGGGTTCTGTATGAGCGCTACCCCTCCCAATATGACAACTTGTCCGAAGAGGAGCTACACCCAACACCACCATTCCCCCTTTTCACACCCATCTCGCCCATGCCCCAGACAAACGGGGGCGTGTTCGTCACCCAGTACGTAGGCACCGAGAATGCAGATGTCCCCGCCAGTCCCCCGCCACTCCCAGAAAAGAAAAGCAGACACAGTAAGTGAGGAGGAAGGAGGTGATGGGTTTGTAATGAGACGGCAGGGAAGAAGAAAAACATTTAAATAAGATGCCTGAATAGACATCATAGAAACAATGGAAGGGACAAAGAGGAATGACCGGAAGAATAAAAGAAGAAATGAGGTTGATGTAGGAAAGGACAGTGGGATATTGACTGCAATAAATCATCAGTTCATTGAAGCATATATTGGAAATATTCCACCGTGAATAGAGGCAGGAAGTGAATACCAGGATGTGCTACAATGGCTCTGGCTCCAGGGGCACAGAGGGCAGCGTTTGGTCATTTCCTGACACACCTGCTACATCGCTTCCTCTTAAGCTACTGTATTAGGTCATTCTATACAGTGAGCCCTTCCTGCATTCTGAAGCATGTTTCATTGTGTCTGACTAATACAAGTATGATTCCAAATGGACAACTGTTTTGAAAGGACATTCCACAGATTTTACACATCAGATTCAGTTTAATTGGTCACAGCGAAATTATTCAGCCTGTGAAAGTAGTAGCTCATAGTATAGTATAATGGCTTCTGTGGCTCCAGATGAGTTATGTATTACATTATTTAATCCATCTCTCTCCTGCAGTCCTCCAGTACATGCAATTTGTGGAAGACTACTCTGAACCACAGCCCTCCGTGTTCTACCAGATGCCACAGAGTGAGAGCATCTATGAGCAGCGTAACAAACGCTTCCAAGAGGTGTATGGCTTCAACGATTCCTTCAGCAGCACTGACTCGGTCCACGAGCCGGTGCAGCCCCCTGCGTTGCCCCCAAAACAAAGGCAACTGGTAAGAAACCTCTCCTTGTGCTCAAGTATGATGTCCGTGATCCTTTTGAAGGACCAGAACTGGTTACTTAGATGTTGGTACCATTTCTTGTCAACTACCAGAGTTAAAGGAAATAAGTGTTTGTTGCAAGTGGATACAAATGAATACCATGAGCAAACATTCCTAAAATTGTTTAGTTCATCCGCCTCAAAGTTAGACTAAAACTCAGTGGAGTTCCCTGATAATGCTGTTAATTACAAGAATATATCTAGAGTTGCATGATAGAAGAGTGTTTGTGAGCACGTGAAGAGCAGCACTGTGCGGGGGAGTTCAGTGCTGGTCCTGTTGTCTTCATGCTTTAATCTAGCTGGGAAGGGAAGAAGTGTCAAAGAGTGCAGATTCTGGGAATCCAGTGATACATTCCAGTGGTGATCCTCATCAGTTTTCTCTCAGGCCTCATCCTATCTTGTTATCTCTCTCACCTACTCAGCCCCTTCTCTTTACACTCTCTATCTCCCTTCCTCGCTGATTTTGTACCCAAAGCAGACAGCAGTGTGTACACGCAGGTGTTTGGTCATTAGCAGGAGATAAGACTGGTTGTTATCAGGCCAACATCAGACGCAGTCCACTTATCTTAATATGGGTGTGCATCTGGGTTAATTGAGACAGCTGTCTGTGATGGTGAGTCAGTAGGGACAGAGAGGAAGAGACAACGCGTAGAATAGTTCATTGCAGGAAAGGGAACATTTTGATTAGCCAGATGAGCTGGATGCTAATCTCTTAATAAATAATACCTAAAGAGGATTTTTGATCAAGTCATCAGTTTTTAATGTTTCTGAGTATATTAGGGACTTTTAAGATTTCATAAAGGTTACTTTAAAGAACAATTCCTGTATATTTCAACACTTGTTTCCAATAAATGTGGCCCTTGTGTTTCAGTAGGTCATGCTGACATTATTCACACCACCTTCATTAAAGATATATAGGGAAATGAAAACTCATGCAAATTGGAGCAAACTGTGTAATTGTTCCATCACTTCCAGATAAACATTAGGTTCAGTCATTTCACATGCTTATCTCCAATACCAACCAAATGTAAACGCAGAAAGTTATGCCCTGGAATAGCCATGTTGGCTAACCGCATAGGCGTCAGCATTGGGGCATTGGCTCATAGACTCACAATAGCCACAAATCCAGCAGATCACTGCATGTTTGGTAGATGGTCCATGTTTTGCCAGAGGCAGGGTGTTCTCACAAAGCACCAGACTTGTCTCTTTTCCCTAGCAAATTCTTAGTCCTACGTATCTCAAGGTGGCAAATTCAGCTGTGGTTAGCCTAAAGCACCGTAGCAATGAAGACAGTATGTTTGTGGACGGTAAACAGATGACATATTTCTCCAGGGTGTAACTAGACAGCATCATAACCCAAGAAAGAAAATAGACTTTGTTGCTGAGTGGCAGTCTACCCAGGCCATCTCTGAGATGCTGTCTTCGTCAATTGTCCCCTTTCTGCCACCACAGCTGTGTATTTGCAGCCTTTATTTTTATCATTCGTTTGTCTGCATGTTCAGTCAAACTGCACTCATCTCTGCTCCTGTCACAGAGCCTAATCGGGCTTCATGTTTTGGACTCGATGAGCCCGTGGCCCAGTGGAATAAGCATGTTTGCCTCCTACTTAAGCCTATGTTCCAAGCTTACATGTTTTAGCGACTTTACATGGATTTGCACAAAAGAAGTAATTTCAGTTGATGTAGAGAAGAAAGTGGGTGAAAAATCACTAAACAACATAGTAGTCCTGCTTAGAATGTATTGTGGTTGACCTGGTTTCTGTAAAGCCCTTAAAACTTAGGACATTACAGAAGGTTCACTGGACTGTCGAAGCAGACATGAATGTGAGTGACCTGGACATGACTCCCTCTAGTTATTAGGGCTTTCTAAGAATAACTGCAACTTAAAATGAGTAATACCTCCAACAGCGGTAGTCTGCTCATTCACTGTTGTATTTTTATCTGAGGTCATTGAGCTGACGCTGCTCAGCTGAAATACCAGAATCCTCCTCAGCTTCCACCACTTCATCACTCTGCTGCTGAACTGATTAAATCTGCTCTGTCTTGCTTACTAGTGTAATCAACTATCAACCTCTTGTTCGTATTTTTTCTCCCTTAACATCCTGTTTTCCCTCTTTACCTTTCCTTAACCCCTGTTTCTCTCATTTCTGTATTTTCTGCCTTTTATGTTGTTTCCTTCTCAGGCCTCCCACTCTTCCTCCCCCTCTTCCTCCTCATCCTCTTCTCTCTCCTGCCACCTCCAGCCGTCTGTGGCGGCCATGGAGGAGGCGGGCACTGGGCTGGGCCTCAGCATGTCCGTCTCTAACTCCTACCTGATTGGCCAAGCATCTTTGACCACACCCACGGTGAGTTCCCCCATCTCCCATTCTCAAAAAACCCCATCCCTCCCATTCTCCACTATGCCGTGGGTGCTGTGTGGTCCTGGACTGATCCAGGATAAGTTGCAGTTTGACCTGTGTGTGTGCTCCATATGTGATACAGTCTGTTCATCTACCCCGACCCCTTTGAGTTTTGAAAATGCAGTGGTTTGGTTGCTGTATGGCTGTTGGTATTGTTCATCCACCCATCCATGTGTGCATTTGTTTGTACAGTGTATTTTGTTCTTTATGTGTGTGTGTATCTTTTTTTAAGCTGAGGCATTAGATATGGTGAAATAATGTTTACTTTGTGTGGGTTATGAGTGTGTGCCGTTTGTTGTCTCTGGCTGCCAACTCTGTGTGTTGCACTGAAGCATTCCTCCACATGACAGGTCATTTTTTGACCCTTGTCTCTGTTTTCAATTTGCCTCAGAAATGCAGTCAGTGAGTTGTGTGTCTGGCAGTATCTCATCCAAATAGTGCAAGAGATTTTTAGGGCTTTGGTTGAGGCTTATAAACGAAAATTTGTTCTATGTTGGCTAAAGTGGAACGTTAACAACCATCAACAGGTTCTTAAAAGTGCATTAGCTTTTGCTTAATCACGGGTCTGTTTCAGTTAGCTGGGGCCTGACCCTGACCTCATAACAGTCTTGTCTGTGTTATTGTGGTTTGGTCAGTATTTTGGAGGGATTGACCCATGATGACCCCATAGTGTGCGAGCACGCTAGGACACAGTGTGGATCTTCTTCAGTGGAATGCAGCGCCAGATGGATGAGAGAAAACACATTCCTTCTGCTCTTCTTTCTTCTAGTCTTCTCTCCTCTGTGTCATTCTCATCTCCCAGTGTCACTCAGTGTGTACACACACTCACTGCCATGCTGTAACCTTCTCTTCCCTAAATGCACACACATTTCCATGTCTTATTTGTCTGTTTCTGCAGAATGTTTACATTCCTCAGCTCCTTGGGGCATTATGATTTTGAGGGCTGTCACAGGGGAGGTAAACCATCCTAGGAAAGCCATTTTGCATATGTTGAGTGGAAAAGATGGAAATATTCACTTAGTTAATCCATAGATTCAGTATAAAACTTGCTAAAAATGGAGGCCTTTAATTTCCAGCTGATTCTGGTGTGTGTGTGTGTGTCAGTATGATTGTTTATCAGTGATCTGTGTGTACTGCTCTCTGCCAGTTTGCTGAAACAGGGCTGGTATGTGCAACGTGTTCAAACAGGTTCCCACCACCTCCCTGCTGGCAGGCATCCCCTCAGCTGTCCACACTCACATTAAGGCATCTCTTGTCTAAACATGTTTATGTTTATAGTTGTTGCTAGCTTATCTGTGTATTTTTGTCTGTTCAACATCTCTGTCCTGACATCTTCCGTATTATCTCACTGGAGATGTTTCTTTTGCCACTGGTTCCAGTTTTACATTCCTGGGTGTATGCGAATCTGCAGTACATTTCATGTTCAGGCACATCACTCCCATAGTCCAGACTTAATGAAGGTGTTGGAGAAGGCGGTGAACACTCCCCTTTGCTTCCTGTTGTTCAGCTTCTTTTTCTGTCTGCTCTGTCTTTACCTCTCTAATCCCTTAGTCCTGTCTTTTATTTTTCTTTACTATTATTATTTTTTACTTTCCCGCTTTCATTCTTTCTACCAATCACAGAGCTTGGACCAAGTTGCCTTGACCAATGCCACCATTCTGGATGGCAGCGGGGGTGGGACCAACGGTTCCCTGGCTGGCTCAATGGGCTCTGTGGCTGTCTGTCTTCCTTCTGAGTCTTCTCTCACTGACTCTCTCCACACCTCAGCGGTGAGCTTACAGAAGGTGGATGCTAGGAGCACAAGCAGGACACTTCTATAAGCCTTCTTGCTATGACGTATAATAAAATATTCAGGATCCCTTCCTTTAGTGTTACATTACACCAGTATTGTTGCTCAGATGATTGTCATTCACTTGGTGGCATCTTGTTGTCATTATCATGGCCCGCAAACTGTCCTCTGTCTGGTTAAGGGGCTCACAGAAAGCCACAAGAGCATGTTGCACTGCATGTTCTCTTTTTCCAGTAAATATTATTACCTTTATAAATGATGCACTTCAGTGCCACCTGGTGGTCATGTCGACCCTGAGCTGGAAACACACCTCTCACTGTACAATACTGGACCTCAGCTGGCCGCTGTCTCTCCTCCTTAGGCACACTTGACGTCTATCCCACCCTTAGCAAACACTCTGTGCCCCTCTCTGCTGCCTTACACCTCGGTTTGTGTCCCTCCTCTTTTCCCATAGAGTGAGAGCGCGAATGACGAGGGCGGGGAGGGAGAGTATGTCAACTTGTACTCATCCAACCAGGCCAATGGGGAGCTGCCCCACTCCCTCAGAGTAAGTAGCTGACCCTCCACGGGTGAAAGGTCAGTTCCATTTGCATGTCCCGTCACTTCAGGATATGAATCAATTGAAAAATGTGATTTTGAGTAATTTAAAGTTAGGAGGCCTGTTTGACTTGAAAATATTGCTTTCTGCAGTCCTCAGTTACACTGAGCAGCTCTTACTGATTCATCTCTTGAACTGAGGGCACTGAAATGGAATGTAAATGTAGCCAAACCTGGCTGTGCATGACTTCAGGTTCATGGGTTTGCCTGTGAGGGACTCGTGCTGTGGTCGCTGTCTGTGGAAAAGGTGTCCATCTGTGTGCTGCTCTGACTGCCCGGCTGATGACTGCTGTCTCTCTGGCTGTGCTTCAGTTGTAACAAGCATTTAACCTTGTTCCGATCTAACAGCTAACATGTTGGTTCTCCTAAAGGGATTACCAGTGGTTCATCTGTTTTCAATCTTCCAGTAACATTCCCCATAACGGCTTATGTGCACTTGCGCATGTGTGACAGTGCACGTGTGTGTGGTTGTGTTTGTGGTTCTTTTGGCCAGCGTGTGCATTCTGGGTTTATTGTCGACATGTTGGAATGTGGTGTGTGTGTGTGTGTGTGTGTGTGAATGTAAGTGCGAGGGAGAGAGACAGTGAGTGGATCTGTGACTGCATTTGTAGTTTTCCATTTGGCGCAGTATCAGTGCAAGTGAGTTCTACCCTCTGGTGTCTTTCTGTTGTGGGTTTCATCGGCTGGGTTTTTCCCCGCTCCTACTGAAGAAAAGCTATCAACGCTTAACATCTAATCTGTGTCAACACTAATAGAGATAACATCCTTTGTAGGCGTAGTGACAGATGTTTGTACAAGCATCCATCTTCCGCTCCAGCAAACGTGTCCCGGTGGTCCGGACAATACCATCAGTAGCCGGTCTGCTGTCACTGCATGGATCCATTCACCAATGATGTCCCATGTATGCTGCTGTGCAGATGTTGATTTTTGCTTTTCCATCCACTGATTAGGAGACGATCACAGCTGACGATATACTCCAAGACCCCACCCCACAGATGCCATCCGCCAACAACAAAGAGGCTTTGGACAAAGAAAGGTAATGTTTATGAGCTTTGGATTTTTATAATGGCATGGCCTGATACCACTCTGAGCTTCCATAGGAATGCTCACATTCTTTGGCACATCTGTGTATTGATAACCGTTATGAAAATAGTTGCTGAATAATTTTCTCTAGATTGACAACTTGATTAATCAATTTATCATTTCAGCTCTAGTATGTAGTGTTGGTTTGTGACACAGCTGTGGCTCAGAGCATTTTTGTGCTGATGATTGTGTGTGTGTATGTATGTTACAGGAGGCAGAAGTCAGCAGAGTCGGCTGGTAGTGATGAGGAAGATGTGGACGAGCTCTCCCTCATAGACCACAAGGAGATTATGAACAGGATAACACTAAAACAAGAAGTAAGATGGTCACTGCTGATGCTGTGCACTGCTTTTGTAACTTTGCAGCATCAGCATACACAGCACCTTTTTTCCTGTTAGGCCCACAAAGGCTAAAGGTCACTGTTGAGTCACTCAGGTGAAATCAGATCTTGAGATGCAGCACTGATAGCCATTGCTGCCCTCTGGAGTCTAGTCTCTGAAAATGCAGGTTAAAACTGCCAGAGCACCCTCCTCCTCCTACACCTCCACCTCCTTTGTCCCTTGTGGTGCAGTCTGATAGACAGATATGTTAAACTGCTGCCTGCTGCTCTGCAAGGTTAGGGTCAATAAGACAGCAATGAATGGGAAAGATTAGAAATGCAAGGATGTGAAAGGTTTGTTACCTGTGATGATTTACAGGTGTGACAGACATGTTGCACCAGTAGTGCTTTCATTATTCACAAAACTGACTTTTTTTCTTCGTCATCAGACGAGATGGTGCAAGAGGGAGAGGTGGGGGCCATTTAGGGGAGTAAGCTGCATTTTGGGCTAGACTACACCACTGTACATCCGCCCTAACCACTCATCTCATCTCGTGCTTTCATTCTCCTCTACCTTTTTATCTGGTGTCGGTTTTCTCCAGTTCTCCTCCACACCTCACTTGCTTTTCTTAATCCTCCCAGAATGACGATGGCCCTGATGTTCGTGCTGGATCAGGAGATATTCTCTTAGTCCATGCTACAGAAACAGACCGCAAAGGTATAGTACAGATGACCAAACACACACAAAGACTAATACTTATCCCATCTCTTATGCAGATTACTGTATACTACTGTTCAGGGCTCTAGTTTTGTCGTGCTATCTTGATAAACCTGTCATTTTATCTTGAAAAACAGATTTTATTTTTACTGATGTTATTACTCTTCTGATCTCATCTGAGCAGCATTTTAAATTGCCCCTGTCTGTGTCTTGTTCAGTTATTTGTCAGTCTGGGTTATGTAGCCTTCACATATGTTTTCAGATATAGTTAAATGAAAACTCTGAAACTCATATCAGCTGAAATAAGATCCTTTTTTTTCTGTTTTTGCCTGACAGATCTTGTTGTGTACTGTGAAGCCTTTCTGACTACATATAGGACTTTTATAACCCCTGAGGACCTCATTAAGAAACTACACTACAGATATCCTTTTCACATCACTCAGCGTGTCTCTCTGAGCTTAATCTCTTTTCTGTTGGTAGAAACCTGGTTTGCCTTGTTTTTTCCCCCTTTACCCTTATTTACCAAGGAAAGGTTTGTTTATCTGTGGTCTGGGCATCTTTGCTTAGACTGCTGCCCCCGCGACCCGGTCCCGGATAAGCGGAAGAAAATGGATGGATGGATGGAAGTTTGTTTATCTTGTTTGCTCCTATTAAGGGTGTTCATTTATAGGCGTTCATAAATGGAGACCCACAGTAGCACCATAATCCTCAACTGATGGATACTGAAGTGTAAATTGCTGCTGACTGTGTTTTGTTAAATGACACCTCAAGAGAGTTTGTGTCATGAACTTTCCCTCAAAGTAGTTTTCTTCTAATGTTTTGTTATTGCCAGAAGTATTAGTTGGGTAATGAATCATTCAGTCATTATCAGCAGCTGATTTGACAATCAATTCTTCATATCAAGCTGAATATATTTGGATTTTAGGCTTCTGGTCAAAATTAGCTATTTGAAGTAGTGATGCACCGAAATTAAAATTCTGGGCCGAAACCGAAACCGAAAATTTAGGATGCACTTGGCCGAAAACCGAAACGAAACCGAAAATGGCTTCTTTTAAAAACTTCA